CATTGGAAGGAAAAAAATCTAAAAGGAAGATGAAAAAAATTTGTTTTTGTATTTTGGGCCACATCCAGGGTTGCTCAGGGACAAATACCTGGTTCTGTGCTCGGAAATCACCTCTGGTAATGCTGGGGATTACCAGACTACCCTGAATTACAGATTCAGGGTCTGCTGCATGCAAGGTAAGAGCTTTGATCCCTGTACTCTTTCTCCAGCCCCTGACGGTGGAGTGCTGGTCATGGTATCCTTTAGCATGGCTGGTGGTAACGAAACGTGGCCGCGGAAAATGCTGTAGGGGACACTGTGACAAACACTCTCACTTTCTAGCGAGGCCTTCCTGGTCACTCTGAAGCACTCAGCTCAGGGAAGCGCAGAGGTTGGGAGGGTCTAGAAACTGCCCAGTTTCATTGTGCATGGGGTGGTCGAGGAACGGTTCTGGATAGGAGGGAGGATGTGTGTGTCCCTGTGTGTGTTCTCTGGCGCCATTAGGCATGACCCCTGCAACTGAGTTAAGGAAGTAAGCGTGCAAAGGGAATTTCTTTTCTTTTTTTTCTTGAATCGCCATGAGATAGAGCATTACAAAGCTGTTCATGATTGGGTTTCAGTCGTACAGTGTTCTAACACCCATCCCTCCGCCAATATTATTTCCCAGCACCAGTATCTCTAGTTTCCCTCCTATCCCTTCAAGCCACCCACCCCAGCATGCCTCAGTGGCAGGCACCTCTCCTTCCTCCCTCTCTCTCTTTCTTTCTCAATCTCCCTCCCTCCCTCCCTCCCTCCCTCCCTCCCTCCCTCCCTCCCTCCCTCCCTCTTTCTCTCTGTGTCCCTCCCTCCCTCCCTCCCTCCCTCCCTCCTTCCCTCCCTCCCTCTCTCTTTCTCTCTGTGTCCCTCCCTCCCTCCCTCCCTCTCTCCCTCTCTTCTCTCTCTCTCTCTCTTTCTCTCTCTCTCTCAGAAAGGGAATTTCTACTAAGCCAGTAGTCTTTGAAGTCGTGAGTGAGATTTGCCTTCTGATCCCCAAGGACTGTGTGGTGGGCCAGGGAAAAGACCCTCAGGTCAGGTGTTCTGTTACCCAGCATCTGGACCTTTTCTCCTTAAAAGAGCCTTTGAGGGGCTGGGGAGAGAGTGCAGGGGCTCAGGGCCAGGTCATGCAGGTGGCTGATGCAGCAGACCTCTGCTGTCACCTCTCTGGAGACCCCTGAGCACTGCTGGGGGCACCTGAGCCATCCCGAGGGCCTCAGGGCCAGAGCAGCACCAGAACCTTGGACTAGGCTGAGCAGTGGCTGGGAGTCAGCAGGAAGACCCCCGGGCCTCCTGGGTACCACCTGGGCAGCTCCTGGAGAGTGCAAGTGTCTGAGCATGTGATGGAGTGCGTGAGCATGGCTGGGTGTTGATCTGGAAGCTGCTTCAAGGTGACTCTGGGGCTTCCTTTGTGGAAGTGTCGGTGCCATTTGCAGTAGCTGCTGACTCAGTCTCATGGGTGACGGACGGTCTGTGAGTGTAGAGCCAGTGGTTGTCATCAATCTACATTTATGGCGGATGACTCTGTTATCCCGAGAGCCCTAGAGCATACGGGGACACATTCTCCATCCCTGGGGCCCATGTGCCACCTAGCTGGGAGCAGGGCACGCCAGGCTTCGTGGTCCTGTGTGGCCAGAGAGGGCCACCCTGTGGCTCCATCAGGGTGTCCTGAGGGTCCGGATGGGTGGGGACCGCCCAGCCTGGCTGCTCCCTGCTGCGGGCACTCTGCAGGGGAAGGAGGTGTCTTCTGATGACTTCTGGGGACAGCCCTAAGTCCAGCGCGCAGAAATAGTGGGTGCCCTCAGCAGTGGATGCCTGCTCTGGGTGCTGCAACGGCCCTTTTTCTCCTCTCTGTCCACCGGCAGCCCCAGGGGCGGGCAGGGTCAGCAGAGGCCAGTCTGCCTGTGATTTGAAAGGGGGACACTACATTAGGAGCCTCATCAGCTCGTGCAGTAGGTGAACCTCTCAGTGGCATAAGATTCTTGGGGGCACAGAAGCGGTGAGTACAAAAACCTATCCCTTCTTGGGGCCGGGCGTCTTATTAAGTGCTGTGCCGCTGGTGGTGGGTTGTGTGCAGGGGTGGCCAGCAAGCTGATCACAACAGAAGAGTGGATTGGAGCTGTCACTTTGGGGGCCCACTAGGCAGTGGGGAAATTGAGTGAGGGTCGAGGCATCCTCAAGCCACTGCTGAAAATGGTGTCGCAGGCAGGCCTGGGCTGGGCTCTGGGTTAGGTTGAGTGATTGAGCATCTGTGAGGCCCTGCCTCTGAGCCCCAGTACCCTTTGCCATGGCATTGCTGGGGTAGCCCTGGTGGCACCCACCCATTGCTGGATGTGGCTTTGGTGGCTCTCTAGCTCCACCAGGCCCAGGGCCTTCAATCCCAGCTGGACTGGATGCCAGGCATGGCTCCAGGGGTCCCCAGCACTGCAGGCCCAAAGTTGTCCCATAGAGAAAAATACTAAGGAAAGGCACACTGCGTGCTGGGCTTGCTTCTGCCCTGTCCGTCCCCTGCAGGGGACACATTCCTGGTGGAGGAGCCACTAGCCCCGGGTGCGGCTCCAGGATCGCCCCAGAGCAGACAGGGAGTCGCTGGGACCCAAGAGCCAAGGCCCTGCTCAGTTGGAGCCCCCGATTTCCTCCATTGTGGTCTCCCCAGTGCTCAGGGTGCAGAGCTGAGAGTGACCCTGTCACATTTCCTGATGGCTCGGAGGGTGCGGGAGGACCCGGGGCAGCCCCGGGTGGGGCGTGAGAGAAAGCGGGTATGTCTCCTGACCCTCGAGGACCTCCCTGGAGCACTGGCTGGACCTTAGTACCAGGGGGTGGGTCCTTGGACTGCTGGACATGGACTGACCATCTGGTGCCCTCATGGTTCTTGGGGTGCTTGGTGTCTGCTCCACATGGCTGGAATTGGGGTGGGGGGGTGATCACCTGAGCTGTATGGGTGTTTGTCCTGGTAGTTGGAGGTCTGAGCTCAGCAGGGCAGGGTTGTCTGGACCTCAGTTCCCACCGGAGGGTGGGAGGCAGAGGGGTGGCTGCCCTAGGGGACAGCCTGCTAGAGCCGGAGTCGGATGCCCTTTCGGTGGAGGTAGGGGCAGTGGGTCCTGGTTGCCGGCATGCGGGGTGCAGGACTGTAGTTGACTTTTGGATCACTTTCTCTTCCCCTCTGCCTTCTTGGAGTCTAAATCCTGTGGTGCCCAGGGCCTACCCTGGCTCTGTGCTTGGGGGGGGTCACTCCCGGGGTTGCTTGGGAGACCCTTTGGTGCCAGGATGACAGTGGACACCCTGCATGCGAAAACTGTACTAAGGTCACTCTCCATCGCCCCTCCACCATTTCTCAGGTGATGGCTTTCTCAGGGCCTTACCTGGCTGCTGAGAAGGGCAGCTCCTTAAATACATCCTCTCTTTTTGATGCCCACCGCCACTGTTTTTTAAATTTTCTTTTTAATGGAATCACTGTGAGATACACAGTGAGCAAGCTGTTCACTGTTGGTTTTCAGTCATAGTGTTCCAACAACCATCCCTCCATCACCACTGAATTTGTCACAAGACTTGTTGCTTCCACGTTGGTCTTTGCCATGGCCACAGCCTTGGGGGTGTCCTGGAGGTTGTGCCAGAGATTCCCACCTGCTCCTGATCAACTCCATGGGCAGCTGGAGCTCTGAGCCTACTCTCTCTCTGTCTCTCTGTCTCTGTCACTGTCTCTGTCTTTCTCTCTCTCCACACCCAGAGATGCTCAGGGATCACTCCTGGCAGTGCTTGGGGGACTGTATGGGGTGCTGGGGATTAGGCCCAGGCCGCGCTACCTGCTGTACTGTCTGTCTGGCCCAGCTCTGGGCTCCCTTGCTCCTGCGTGTCCCCTTGACCCCATCCTGCTGCAGAAGTTGAGACTCCAGGAGGGCAGGACCCCCAGAGCTCTCAGGCTGAATGGTGTCTGGCAGCTGGGGTGGCTTGCTGCAGGGGTGGGGAGGGGAGTGGGCGGGGCCCACCACCCAGCAGTAAGGGACTGGCAGGCATCTGGCCCTGCCCGGTGCACACAGACCCCCTCCCAGGGGCAGCGAGCCTGCAGCCAGGACAGCAGCGCAGCGCTTCCCACATGGCCCTGTGCTATTTATTAGATGTTTCTCTCAGCAGAACATCCGAGTGTCTCCTTGCTAAAGATCCCCTGGACCTGCCCCCCCCAAGCTGCTGTTGGGAGGAACAAGCCACATGTGTCACTGTGTTTTTCAACTCGGCAGCCCTGTGCAGCGCTGGCCTTGAGGGGGCGGGGTGGCTGTGTTGAGCCCGGGATGCTTCCTGAGCAAGTGGGTCTGTCCTGCGTTAGGAGCCTTGAGGGAGTGTGGCCACGGACAGGCAGGGTGGCTTCATGCTCAGGGCCCAAAGGCAGGAAGGGTGGGGGGACAGACGGTTGGGCAGACAGATAGACAGGCCCATGTGTGAGCTGGGCGTGGGTCTGAGTGTGTGTGTGCGAGCGTGGGTCTGAGTGTGTGTGAGCATGAGTGTGGATCTGAGTGTGTGTTGTGAGCATGACTGTGGGTCTGAGTGTGTGTGTGTGTGTGTGTGCGAGCGTGGGTCTGAGTGTGTGTGAGCATGAGTGTGGGTCTGAGTGTGTGTGTGTGAGCATGACTGTGGGTCTGAGTGTGTGAGTGTGAGCGTGAGTGTGGGTGTGTGTGTGAGTGTGGGTCTGAGTGTGTGAGTGTGGGTCTGAGTGTTTGTGTGTGAGCATGGGTCTGAGTGTGTGTGAGCATGGGTTTGAATGTAAGTGTGGGTCTGAGTGTGTGTGTGAGAGAAAGTTTGGGTCTGAGTGTGTGTGAGTGCAGGCGTGGGTCTGAGTGTGTGTGAGTGCAAGTGTGGGTCTGCGTGTGTGAGCGTGAGCATGTGTCTGAGTGTGTGTGTGTGTGTATCTGTGCGTGCGCCCGGCACTCTCAGACCAAGGGCCCGGGAACGGGGCCCGGCGCTCACCCTCGTGGCCGCCCCCTTGTCTCCTGCAGGTGCACCTGCGCTCTGCCCGGCGCCTGCGCGAGCTCTGCTGTGCCAACCGGGGCACCTTCATCAAGGTGGGCCAGCACCTGGGCTCCCTGGACTACCTGCTGCCCGAGGAGTACACCAGCACGCTGCGGGTGCTGCACAGCCAGGCCCCGCAGAGCAGCCTGCGCGAGGTCTGCCAGGTCATCCGCGAGGAGCTGGGCAAAGAGGTAGCCACCTGGAGTGGGGGAGGCTGCTGGGGAGGGCTCGGGCCAGGCCCCCTTGCTCCCAGGGGGTAGGGAGGCTGTGAGTGTGCGTGGGCGACCGGCAGAGCCTCATGCTGAGGGGGCTGCCGTTCTAGGTCCCTGCCACCCTTTCCCCGTCACTTAGTGGGAGACTGTTCTCCTCTTGGAGAACCTTCTGCATCCTCTAGAGTTTTTCCCAAACAGAATCATCTTCCAGTGAAGCTTCGAGCAGCAGAAGCCTTTGCCCGAGGCAAGTTTGCAGCCTCTGAGGGCCTCCAGATCCTCGGCTCGGTGACCCCTGTTCATGCTCCACCGCCACCGACTCTCACTGCACTGTGGACTCTGGGCCGTGTCCCACCCTGATCTGTGCTCTTGTTCCCCTCCCCCCTGTGCTGGTCTTATAGGATGGTGGCGCTCCCCCCTTTCAAGCTTAGAGAACGATAGGCGAGGAGGTTCTTCCTGCAGAACCTGCTCTGAGCGGAGGCTCCCGAGGCCCTCTGCAGCCGCCCACCTGATGGCTGTGTCTGTCGGGGACACCCACTCAGACTCAGGGTCCTGGCACCCATCGTGCTCCCCCACGCGCGTGCCCGCATTGCCTGAGTCCCGCTCTTCTGTGTTGAGTGATTCTTTGGTTGGCTCGGCCATTTGTCCCCATGAGTGTGACACTCCGCTCTCGCCAGGGTCCGGGTGCTGTGTGAGGGGCAGGGCATCGGCCGCTCCCCCACTCTTCTGGAAGTCTCTCCGGGGTGGCTGTGGCTCCCCTGGCTGGGCTCTGTCGGGCACAGGCATTGGTCTGGGTGGTGTCCCCACAGCCCCATGACGCTGGGGGCCGAAGGCTAAGCTGGGTTTCACTGTCCGTCGAGCAGGGGGGCTTTTTGGGGTGCTGGGGAGGGAGAGGCTCGGAGTCGGTTCAGAGCCGGGGATGAATGAGGGACCGTGACCGTGGGTTGCCCAGGCACGGAGGGGCAGGGAGGCCTGTCTGTCTGTGCGGAGCCGGCCCAGGCTTGTTCCCTGACTGGAGCGGCTTGCAGATAGATGGCCTTGCACAGACAGACATTTGCGTGCAGCAATGCCACCGCTCCTCAGAGATCCCCTAACCTGGGTGGGGGGGGGGGGGACCTGGATCCTGTCCCCTGCCCAGGAGGTGAGCCCAGAAATCCCCCAGAGGCACCTCTACCGCCTCCGCCCCCCCCACCCCCTACCCCGGGACCAGCTCACAAGTGGGAGAGATGGAGCAAACTGCAAATGCCACATCGGGCACAGGCCCTGAGCCAGGAGCAGGGCGTGAGGACCCCAGGGCGTGCGGGGTGATGGGGCTGGGCACGGCCTGGGCCTGGCAGGAAGCTTTGCTTCTTGTCAAGACTCTTGGCCCCGGGCTTCCTGCGGCACGAGATTCTCCCCTAGATTCAAATGAGATAAGTCACTGTAATTCCAGTGTGGAACGTATCGGAGGGCGGTGGCTGCTTAGCCCAGTGGGCGCCCTGAGTCAGGGTGGAGCAGGAGTGGGGGGTGAGGGTGGGGTGGGAAGGCAGGCAGGTCTGTGGCTTCAGGGCCGCCTCTTCCCCACACAGTCACCCGGGGGGGCCTAGGAGAAGGGGAGTGGGGCCAAAGGGGGGGCTAGCTGTGGGGGCTTCCTGCAGCTGCCGTTTCCCACCCGGAGTTCCCTGGACCCCTTGGGGAGGAGCCGTGTCTGTCCCTGTGACACTCAGGGCTGTGGGTGCAGTGCGGGCCTGGGGCTGAGTGGGAGTTAGGGTGGGCCCAGGCAGAGAGAGTCCCTCTCTCTCCTCCCCCAGCCCACTTCCTGTCACGCCCACATCTCCCCTCATCGCCGCCTCCTCTTTCCCAGTTCTCATCCTTGGGGACCTCCAGGGCCTGTTCCATCCCCGAATGGCAGACTGACTGGGGGGAACCGGCCGGAGGAGCTGGGTGCTGGGCTGTCCTGTCCTGGGGGCGGGGGGGGGACACCGCATCTGTGTCTCCTGGGGGTGCCTCCCTGGGACCTGGCATCAGGCAGCAGAGGCCCGGGAGGGTCTCTGGTGTCTTGAGACCCTATCTGTGTTCCCTGGAAGAGGGGGCTGTTCTGGGGGTGTCCCTGATGGGGGTGGTGAAAATGAGGTTGCGGGTCCTTAACTTACCCCCCTCTCCTAATGTGCTTGGGTTCTGGGGCTGCCAGTGTGTGGGCGAGTAGGAAGGGTTCCCTGGTGGGGTGTGTGGGGGGGCGGGTGAGGAAGGGACACACAGTGGCAAGAAGCAGCCTCAAGTCTACTCTTTCTTTCTTTCTTTCTTTCTTTCTTTCTTTCTTTCTTTCTTTCTTTCCTTCCTTCCTTCCTTCCTTCATTCTCTTTTTTTTTCTTCCTCCCTCTCTTTCTCTCCCTCCCTCCCCTCCTCCTCCTCCTCTCTCTCCTTCCTTCCTTCCTTCCTTCCTTTCTTTCTTTCTTTCTTTCTTTCTTTCTTTCTTTCTTTCTTTCTTTCTTTCTTTCCCCCACTCAGCTATGCTCAGCTCTGCACTCAGGAATTACTCCTGGCGGTACTTGCGGGACCATATGGGATGCACAGGATTGAACCCAGGTCGGCCATGTGCAAGGCAAACGCCCTGCCCGCTGTACCATTGCTCTGGCCCCAGACCCTGATTTTCTTTGTCATTTTTTCCCCCCAATTGAGGCTGCGTGATCTACAGAGTTACTCATCTCTGAGTTTTGGGCGGTGCAGCTTCCCAGCACCAGTGTCAGCGCCCTCTGCCCGTGTGGCGCTTTCCTCCGCCACCCTGTAGCCTGCCTCCTGTCTTTCTTTCTTTTTTAATGTAGGAGTACTCCTACCTCCTCAGCAGGCACTATATTTATTTTTGAGCCACACCCAGAGGTACATAGGGCTGACTCCTGGCAGGGCTCGGGGAACCCTGAGCGTGTTGCCGGGGATTGAACCTGTGTCAGCTGTGTGCAAGGCAAGTGCCCTCCCCGCTGTCCTCTCTGCTCTGTGCAGTTTTCAGTTTGGTTGCAGACGTTGGGTTTGCCGCGGTCCGTGCTGTGGGTTCTGTGGCTCAGATCCGCAGGTGTCCCACAGCTCTTCATGGCCAGCATGTCTGCGGTGTCACCTCCCATCTGCCTCTTTCTCCGGCTTCTCTGGGCGGGTGGGGGTGGGGGGTTGTCTTGTTCTCTGCGGGAGTGTCTGTGCACCTTTTCCTGGCTCTCGCCACCTTCTGACCTTGTTTCCTTCTTGTGCCCCCTGCCCCCCCGCCCACTTACAGTTGGCACCCTAGACTCATGCTGCCCCGTTTATGTGACTGTCCCCTCTTGGGGGCTGGACGGCCCACAGGGCTGAGGACCATGCTCAGCAGTTCCTATTTGCTGGAAATGCTTTTGGAACCCGGGAGATTCTGAAGGACAGCTTCCAGGAGGCAAGCACAAGCCTGAGCTCTTGGGAACTGTGTCCTTCCCTGCAGCCACCAGAGCCACCTGGGGAAGATCTCCATCTGGGTCCCCCTTGCTGCTCCTGGGGGCTGTGGGTCCAGATGTAGTGATGATCTCGGCCAGCAGATGGCGCTGGAGCTCACGTGTCTGGGAGGGTCCTGGGAGGCGTGCCGGGTGGGCTTGGCCTGGGCTGTGGAAGGAGCCTGGACTGGCCCCTCTACGTGCAGCACTGAGACTGCTGACCACCCCAGGCCCCATGGACTTCGCTTCACGCGGGCGGGCCTGGCTGGGTTGTCGCCACTGACCACTGGCACCGCCCTGCCCCCTCCTCATCCAAGCTGGGGCCCTCTCTGTCCCTCGGACTGTGCTGCATCCTCCTTCCTTCCTTCTTTTTTTATTTTATTTTATTTTTTTATTTTTGCTGTTTGGGTAACACCCGGAGATGCTCAGGGGTTACTCCTGACTCTGTACTCAGAAATTACTCCTGGCAGTGCCCGGGGGACCATATGGGATGCTGGGAAATGAACCTGGGTTGACCGCGTGCAAGGCAAACACCCTACCCGCTGTGCTATCGCTCCAGCCCCTCCTTCCTTCCTTCTTTCATCACATCCCTCTCTTGCTTGCCTGCCCCCGAGAGTAATATCTGGGTCACTGTGGGGGGAGGGGGGCCCATCGTGGATGGCCTTGTAGTGTTCGTGGACTCATTGAGGAGGTATGGAGAGAGGTGGGGGTGAGAGAGGGAATATGGCCTCGAGGCGGAGACAGCGGTTTCTGGTCCAGGCTCCTGCCTGAGTGGGGGGGGGGGGGGGAGGAGGAGGGCCAGGGGTCAGTGGGACGCGTCCAGCAGGTGCAGGAAGGCGCAGAACGTGGCGAGAGTGGCCGTGGGGTTGGGGCTGTGCCCACACTGTGAAGCGTCTTGACTGTTCTCCCTCCAGGGAGTGAGAGGACTCAGAGGGGGGCAGGATGATCTCAGGAAGTGGGCAGGCGAGCTTGTTGTCTGCAGGTGGGGTAGGAGCTAGAGAGGGCTGAGCATGGGGAATTTTCACCTGTATCAGCCCAGTGACCTCAGCACACACACACACACACACACACAGTACACACATGCACACACGCATGCATGCACATACTCACATGTGTCCCCAGTTTCCCTTCAAATCCCCCAAACAACCCCTCACCTCAGCCTGCCTTCTATGGCAAGTACTTTTCTCTCTCTGTCTCTGTCTCTGTCTCTGTCTCTGTCTCTGTCTCTGTCTCTGTCTCTGTCTCTCTCTCTTTTTCTCTTTCTCATTTTAGGCATTATGGTTTACAATGCAGATGCTGAAAGGTTACATGTATCCCTTTACCTACGTTCACCCCTCAGTTCTTGTCCAGAGTGATCATTTCCAGCTAATATTGTCATAATGGGCTGGAGCAATAAAGCAGCAGTAGAGTGTTTGCCTTACGTGCAGCCGGCCCTGCAGAGCCAGGTTTGATTCCTCTGCCCCTCTCGGAGAGCCTGGCAAGCTTCCGAGAGTATCTTGCCTTCACAACAAAGTCTGGCAAGCTACCCGCGATGTATTCAATATGCCAAACACAGTA